TCCGATCTTTCCTTACCACTTCAATTTCACTAATAATCTTCTCGTTTTCCACATTCACAATAATAAACGACATACAACACTCTGTTCCATCCTTTAACAAAACTTTAACTTAGTTAGCTCTCACCAACAACTCATCTTGTAACTGAGGAAATACTAACTCCCTATTGGCACAATCTATAAGAATCTGATTGACAGACAATCAATCCATCCCGAAGATCATGTCAATATTGACTAAAGGCAAATATATCAAATTTACCTTATACTTCCTATCACCCAAATCCAATGAACAACCAACACATCACTCAACAACTTATCAACACAACACAAAGAACAACACAACAGAAACCTAATGAGATCACCCCTACAGAGTTTCCACTAGGCTCGACCTGCTCTAATACCATAAAAGTGTAACGACCCGTCAGGTCTCACACTGTCTATAGCGTCCAAAAACAAGTATAAAATAAAATCTCACCACTAAACAATTATATATATAATGAGAATACACAACTAAAAAGTCTCAATATATATATAACTGAAAGTAGGGAAATAATATCCTATACAATAACTAGGTAGTCAAAAGCTACCAATCAACTAACTACAACGCTAGCCCTCCTCCTGAGTCTTAAAGCTCACCTAGCCCAGCAGAACACCTATCCCGATCTACTCGAATACCAAAGTATGGTCATCACAGTCCTAACCACATAAGGAAAACACGCTAGGGTTAGCTCACAACAATAAACATACAAAAAAATAGCATCAACATATAATAAACAACAATAGAATTATACTTTCAACTTGCAACATAAAGCAACATAACACCTATAAGAATAGATACACAATATCATCTAATAGAACACAAAAGAAGGGAGTGAGAAACATCTCACTCTGGCTCACGGTGTAGGAACGTACACCGGATAGCCAAACACAAACAATACAGTTACCTCATAGATTAATCAACAACAATAACTTATCCAATCATCCAAGTCATACAAATAGTAATTTATCATCATTTAATAATAAGAATGCACATGTATGGACATGAACATCAAAATATCATGCATGTGGTGCCAGTAAAACATCACATGGCATATTGCCGCTAGCAATACACGAAGAGTAGTCTAGGAGTACATGCCGGGTCACACCCTCTGCGCACTCTCACTAGAAAGATATAATACTTTGCTTTTGGTTTAAAATTTGCTAGACGTTTCCGCAACAGAAAAGCTCAAAAATCATCTAAAAAAACTTGAATCATGATATCATTTCACATCGTCAATCAATATGAGATTTATAACTGCGCGTGTGAGTTGTAAACATGTTTATGGCCGAGTAATCCGCAACCACTCTATTTGCCCTATGTATGGGATTGTTTCCCAAGACAAAGATTATAAACACTTTTCTTATTTAGTTGATTATATGGTGCAGACAAAGAAAAGGATTTAATAATGAAGGGCATGCAAGTTAGCTTCATCATATATATACACGCTTTGCTAAGGGGTATATGTCACTTGGGAAAAAAAATCTAACAATCATACATTATCAGTCAAACTTTGAAGGCGGTTCTTAATTTGTTTACTAGCTGTTGGTTTCTTCTGTCCAATTATGATTGGTCTCTTTCTGCACATATACACTTTCAGCCCAAGCAATGTTAAATTGAATTTGCTTGCAACCATAAACTAAAAAAATTAAAGACAAAATAGACATCCACTTCCTCTTTTTCAGGTATGTATATCACATACATGCATCTCTAGCTAGTATTCTTGTGGGAAAGAGATAATACAAACTAATGACCCAAACATATATAGCTGCAATCTGGAAAGAGGAAAGGCATGTTTTGCTCGAATATCTATGCGTATCCTCCATGATTGTTCATCATAGAGAAGGAAAATAAAGTGAAAAAACAAATAGACAAACAAAAAGCAAGAATGAAAGAACACAGTGGCTCGTGTTATGGATTTTTTAAACAATGAGAAAGCATTTTGGAAAGAAAAGTTAAAGAAGCCAAATATTGGTGGGCCTTGTGGAAGGAATTCTATGTAGTCTATGATGGAATCTTGAGACCCCTCGTGCAGTGCAACTAAAATTCATGTGTAGGAAGTGCACGAGTGGTGAGCTGGTTGCAATTGTCCTATTCTATAGTTTTTTATTTCTTTTATTTTAACCTGAGTTTATGCAATATCTTTAAGTAAGGGAAAGAAAACAATTAAAAAAGACAAAGGAAAATAAAGGGTCTTTTGCTTTACAAGCAATAGACAGAAAGAAAGTATAGGCACGAATAATGCAATGGGCCACGAGAAAAAAATTCTTCTGCTTCTAATGCAACAAAAAATATCCCTGGGGTGTCATGGGTGTCTAAAGTGATAAACTGCACAGGCACATTGATTGCAAGTGTTTTAAAGTAAACCTAGTGTTGTGTTGTGTTGTGTCCCATCTTCCTTCTCATCACTCCTTTTACTTTTCATTTGGACTCCACACATTGTTTATCCTACTATACTAGTTTCTTCAAGCTGATTAAGGGTCATTCTTACAATTTTTAAAATACAGAAGTAGTTGGAGACAACCAACTGCTCTTGCCCCTTCTGAATTATTTGTTGATACATCAAAACTGTTCAAATATTTTTTTTTAATGCCTTGTATAGTTTTTTGGTTATTGAATATGAGAGTTGCGGTTAAGCTTCAACTAAAAAATAGTAACAATAACCATACGTCAACATCTAGAAGAAAAATTTACAATACTTTTTATTTATGGTTCAGAAAAATTAAGATTAGAAAAACCATAATTAAATCCGTATTACAACTAATGTGAGTGTAAGACTCAATTAGATGTACCAACCCCTGTTGGCAAATATTTTACACTATCTGTCTACACATCAATGTAAATACTTGTATAGACATTGTATCATTTTATTTTATTTTTTTTGTAAATTTCACCTTCTATAAATCACACTCATAATAATATGGAATCATCCACTCATACCGACTTTGGCGGAGTAAATATATAGATCAGAAATTTTGTAGAATAAAATGGTATGGACAAAGTTTTGTGCAAATTGCGTGCTTTATTGGCTCATTCAATTTTATTCTTTTATATATTTAGCAGGATGTAGATCTGGTGGCGAACTTGTTTAGTTCCTGAAATTATGGAGAAGAAAAGAGGCCAACCTATATAGTTGATCGGAGAAGTTGTTCATGTTCCAGTAGTAGTTAACATTAAGCTACAAATGTCTTTTTGTTCGAGGATTACTCTTCAGCTTGTTCAATTTATTGCTATATGTTTTATCTTCGGTAATTATCTGTCTGATGTAAATGTATTATGCGTTTTAAGCCACATATATATTTCTTTAAAATGACACAAGAATAACGATGAATTTGTGATGATGATGAAGGGTGATTACACTAAAAAGTAATATCTGAATACATTAATTGATGTCCAATATGTCAACCTTTACTATACACAATTATTATGCATGAACCCAGTTGCTCAACCGAAGGGAATTTAATCATCTCTCAGTTGTATCTGGCTTCCCTGAATGTACTATATTTAATTTCCACACATCTAAGCAATCATGGAGAGGGATAAATTAGTTTTTGGTAGTTTGAGCGTCCAATTGCTCCTCTGTCTCTCACATCACATGTGGGAAAGATTGAAAACACAGATCAGCTGGTTGCTTCTGAGATGCTTTGTAAAGAGGGTTGCCATGTTCTTGACTTAGCTGTGGCACTAACACCATTATTAGTTGAATTAGTCCTTGACCCATGTCTTTCAGGTCTGCTTTCCTGAAAATCATAATTCAAAAATATAAATTAAACAGGTGAAAGCACCTAACACATATTAGCATTAAACAAAACTCTCTCTCTTTCCC